CAGCACTAATTGAGCACTAAATACTGAAGTAGTAGCGGAAATTAGTGATCGAATTTTTCCGCTAACTTCACGCACCTGACAATACACTCATATGCTATCATGACATTTTCTCAATCTATAAATCGAAAAATAATATTGATAAATGATAATCAATCCGAGAATAGAATCCAATAATTATTGTATTGAATGAATCAGTCATAGACCTTATGCTGGATTTACACGTGCATGGGGTTGCCATAAATTTATAAGAAGAAACCGAGACAACACAAGCACAATATTGAGTAATATACTTTTTATGTAGGTAACTCAATATATTGAGAGGGCCAGTGGCATATACAAGGGGTGGGGATGTGGAGATAAGATCCCCCCTAGGCCTTTTTTTAAATATTATAAAATAATGTTCTTAGTGTGAGGGTGTTAGAAACGTAAAACAAAATAATGATAGAATAAAAATATTGATTTGTTTGCAAATTATCCTCCCACCCATACAAAAGTTATGTATACGCCATTGAAGAAGACCATTAATGGCCGGCAATATAATATTTAAAAATATTTTTGTAAAATAAAATATATTAAATATTTATGTGTAAATTACAAATTATGTTTTAATTATATATTGTAAATCGATAACGATTAAAAATGTACATTGAGATAAAATGGTCGAAATTAAAAATTATACAATACTATAGTTCCTCTAAACGTCTAAGCCGGAATATATGGACGTCCCGAAAACATTTTTCGGGACGCGAAGTCCAAAACCAATGACAATCCAGGTTTTCCGTGACGTATGGCAACCTTCAGTGGCGTACATTCAATCTTGCTCTGGGGGGGGGGGGGGGGGTAAAAAAAATAATCGTTATATTTATTTTTTTTTCGTTGCACAGATAAATTAGATAAATAACTGCTATAAATAGATATTATTTTATACAACTTTTTTACCAATTTACAGTTTACTTTTACATTACAATAAATTAATAGCTATTGGAATATAAAAACAGCATAGTTAACAAAACTTTTAAACACCTATCAATATAATTATTTAATTATCATAATATTTGTATAGTTGTATATTTTAAGTTCAAATCATAATAATGGAACTACGAATATATTACACGTTATCAATAATAAAACAATTTTCTTTTTTTTTTTGGCCCGGGGGGGGGGGGGGTTTGAACCCGGATCACCCCCCGTTACGCCACTGGCTACCCTAATGTCACGTGCATGTTTGTTGTGGCGCGAATTGCACTGGCGCGTCACCAAAAATAAACATGCACGTGTAAACATGTACTGACGTGCAAGTGGAATGATCGCATGCATAGAAAAATAAAGTCCGATAATTCTAACTTTTGGTCGCGCCAATGACTATTTTAATTTCAGTTTTATAATAATATTTACTTTGTTTTCATTGTCGTACCTATTCCAAAAGTCAAAATTTTAAAAAAAATGGAACGGAGAATGAATTATAAAATTCTTGGAACTTTACAAAAAACATCTGTGCTTATAGATATATATTTTCAAAAACTTAAAAAGATAAGATTGCCTGGGAATATGCGTGTAGGAAAATTGAAAATGCAATGAACAGAGGGATTTGAATCGGTAGAAGTGAAGGCGAAAATAAGATCTTTTAGGAATGTTTATTAACTATCAGTGGAGTAGCCAGGATTTTTAAATGGGAGGGGCTAATCACTTTTTTGGATAAGTAAGTTAAGAGAGGATATGAGAATTTGCCCTTAACCCACCCCTCACCACCTACCACCAAGTTTTTAAATGTAATTCAAGCATTTTAGTATAGTTTTAAAAATATTTATTAATATATAATTTATAGTAATAATAATAATTTTGGTTTCAGTGTTCATTCACTTGCTCCACTCTGACAGCTGCATCCTCTTAGGCGAATTTCTGGCAAATTCAGTTATTATTTCACTTTCATCGAATTGCTCTTTTTTATTTATATTAGCCATAGTTAATCCATTCAGTCTGTTTTCCGACATGGTGCTTCTTAAATAATTTTTTAAGCGATTAAGCAATTAAGTTCTACTCTCCGGAGTAGAAGAGGTAACTGGTAACGTGGCGAATAATTGTAAAAGTATTTTAATGTTAGGTTGAAAATTGATGTAATGAGAGAGTGAATCAACAGCAGAATTCGGTTTTAGATCAGTATTTTGACTCCATTGTTGCCTCCGTATGAATAAATCAGATCTGATTGTAGATGAGGTATTATCATGGAGATCTTGGGCATATATTTTAGCAGCTTTTATAATATTTTCATCGTCATACATATTTAAATTGGCCGGAATAAGTCCTTCAAGTGGCATAACATCAATAAGCCTTTGATTAAAACGAGCATCCATTGATTCTATTAAATAGTCAAGAAAAGGAATGAAAGTAGAACATTTAAAATATATTTCTGGATTTTCAGAAATAAAGTTTTCTCTCTGAATTTGTCTTTTACATACTCGTGGCATTTTTATTTCAATATTAACACTATTTCCCATGTTGACAACGTCATTAAATATTTGATAGTGATTCGCCACAACCTTGCATGATAACCATCAAAAAGATAGTGATAATCATGGTAGAAACTAAAAGTATTAGTAATCTGTAATATCTACGCCAATGACAAACACCTGTTATTCGTTAATCGTCAAAATTTAGTTAATACCAAAAGTTTAAAATACTTAAATAAAAATAGTAGTATATTAGTTTAGTACATAGATACACTATACATATAAACACGGCTCATGGGGGCCTATAGCCACCTTAGCCAACCCTTTGGCTACGCCACTGTTAACTATTAAATTATTAGTATTAAACTATTAATTATAAGTAGTATAACCTTACCTACCTATATATTATAATTATAATTATAATTGATAATTGAACCAGCTTAAAAAAACAGGGACAATTTTCATTTTATAACTTAGTATCTACAGAAGTCTCAAAAAAAGCTCACTCATAAATTATATTTTCATAATCCTAATAAAATAAATGAAATCTTAATATATTATATTATATTCTTTGATAATATTATACAATAAGCCAGATATTTTTTTATCAATATATCGAGTATTCTAAGCGGTGAAAAAATATCTAGAGAGGTTGAATCGTTTAATAATGTCTCTTTTCGCTAATAGATTAGATAAAAATGTTAAGCCCGCCAACACGGTTGTGACCAAATATCCGCCTATGTCCTTAAATAGTGTTTTAACTATTATTTGATTAATTTTTATACATTATCTTAAAAAGAAAAAAATTAATTTACAGATTAATTATAAAAGAAAAAAATAGCAAACTTGAGAATATAAATGTTTTTTTATAATACCTTTTTTTTTATTAATTTCATAATAAATTAATAAATATTTTTATTACTTTGTTTCAGACTTGGGTAGTATTCCGAATACAATATTCGGAATACTGTATTCAGAATACTTTTTAAGTATTTCGAATACTTTTTAAATACTTTTATTAAAAGTATTCAATAAAGTATTTTGAATATTTATAACGAGTATTCTGAATACTGAATTTCAAATACCGTCGAATCACTTACTTTTTAAATGATTTTATTACTTTTCCGTCGAATCTTGTATAAGCTAATACCAGGTATTTATTATTATTGTAAACCATAAACTATAACAGTTATGTAATATAAAAGTACAATAAAATAACATAAATTTAGTCTGCAATTTCAAATATTTCTGTTGATAGGACATCTATAATTTTTATAGTATGAAAACTAGAAGTATTTTAAAAGTATTCGGAATACTTTTGAAGTATTCTAAATAATTTATTCGGAATACTATTTTTTGTATTTTTTTGAGTATTTATTCTAAATACTTTTAAAAAGTATTTTGCCCAAGTCTGCTTTGTTTGTAGTTATTTTTGAAATTTTTCATTGGTGAATCATCAAAAATTAGTTTTTAAGCTTTTTTTGATATTTAAAGAGATTTTTGCTTTATTTTAAGTACTTTTTTTTTTAGTTTTTTATCTATTTATCTTAATGTGATGGGGAAATTATGGTCGAAGATAACGATACATTATGCTTGATATTTGGAACGGAAGTGGTCGTAAATTTATAAATATAAGGGAATGATATATTTTAAATTAAATTGGTATCGAAATTATCGATATTTTTGTTAATTTTGGTCTACCTACCTTAATAAAAGATTCGACTATTTTAACTCTATTCTAAATAAAATCATATACTCTAAATATCATATATATGATATCTTTAACCGTGGTGTGGACGCACCTTTAGAATTACAGTCGATACACAAAAATTGAATATTTATTGTATTTTCCTACACTGTATCATCTACACTCTTATCAATAATTTATTTGGAAAATGTCATCAAATTATAAGCATAGAATAAATTATATCTAAAAATTAAAAATTTTAAGATATCCATGTACTCAAAAGTACATTTTTATTTTTGTTCAAGATTCATAATAATAATTACTGCCTTTTTTTAATCATACATCAAGAATGGAAAATATAATTTTTAATAAGGATCAAGAATGTGAATCCTCTAGTTATAAAGATTTCACCCAAGAAGATTTGTTTTTAGCTCCAGAACCAAAAAGATCAATTGATCAACATAATTCTTTAGATCCATTTGGAAAAAAGAAGAAGGATAAAAGTAAAAAACAAATTGAAGCAGAAGAAAGAGAAAAAAATGAGGTATTTTTTAAAATTTTGTATTAAAACATACTTAATAGTAATTCTGAGTATACTTAATTATTTTTTTGAGAGTTCTTGTATCCAACTTTACTGAAGAACAGTTAGATAGATATGAAATGTTTAGAAGGTCAGTGTTTCCCAAAGCAGCAATAAAAAGAGTTAGTGTTGATATATTTTAAATTATCAATGAATAATTATGTTGCAAATATTATTAACTTTATTTTAATTTATAGATTGTACAAACTATTACAGGAAATTCAGTGTCTCAAAATGTAGTAATTGCCATGTCAGGCATTGCAAAAGTTTTTATTGGTGAAATAGTTGAAGAAGGTAACTTAAAATCACATATATATTTGTATTTATTTTAACATTATTATTATTATCTTTATGAAATTATAATTATAGCTCTTGACATAATGGAAGCTCAAGGTGATTCAGGACCATTACATCCAAAGCATTTAAGAGAAGCTGTTAGACGGCTAAGAAAACGTGGTGCCATACCTTCATCTAAAGGTAGAAAACTACCTTTTTACATTTAGATTAATGTAAAGAAAGTAATAAAATGTATTATATAAAATTATATTTATTTATTTAAACCACCAATTATGATTGTATATATGACTAATTTTATAATAATTATTTGTTATCTAAATATATGACTGAATACAGGAATTTTTTTTTTTATATTTGAGTGTGAAATTTATGTTCTTAATAAAACTATCAGTTATTAAAAATATTTTTAAATCTTCAAAATGTATAGCTAATGAATAATTAATTTCTGTTGGAATTTATTTGGAAATAATCTAAATGTAAATTAGCATTTAATCTAGGATATTATTAATAACTAATAACTACAATAATATTTTTTATATCATTTATGATAACTATAGTTAAGAAATAGCATATTTCATGAATAAAATCGTTTAAAAACAAATTTTAAATTACTCTAACTACTTAAGTTATAGTTGTATGATCAAAAACATAAAATTCAGATTCAATATTATATATGAAAGAAAAAAAAAACAAGGGCTCAGGTAATTTGTTGATATAAGTATCTACTAATTTATTAATGAGTTATAGTTATGTAGACATTAAATTTTTTATACCAATAAGATTAAATATTAGTTTGAAAAATAAATGAGAATTGTATTTAGTAAACTTTAAATTATAATACAGAAATCTATATTTCATTTTTATATATAACTTAAAACAGTAGGTACATTTTTTTCTTTTAGATTTACTAAACAAAAAATCTCACTTAGTTAATTATTAAAAAAAAGAAACATAATGAATAAACGCTAATTATATTACAATTTAAATTGAGTTTATAATAGAAATTAGAACAGTTGAAATTATAATCAGATTGTCAGTAGACTTTTCACATAGAGCAGATAGATCCCTGCATAATTCTTCATTTATTGTGTCAGTTGAATTCAATAAATAAAATGCTGTGATAACAAGTGCTGCTGCTGTAGTTATTTTATCCAACTCAATATCTAATGACTCCAATCTAGTATACAAAAACAAACATTACCTAAAATTGTTATTCAATTACAAATAACTTGATATAATTTGTAAACCAAAACTATTAAATGTATCAATATTGTATTTTAATTTCTATTAATTATAATTATAATATAAAAATTTATACTTTTCACAATATGTATAATTTCTACACCCTGTTCTTTGATACTGAATTCGATCATAAAGTTCTTGTTGATGAATATAAACCAAGTCTGTTAATAATAAGCACGTAGAATACAGATTGTCTGTAATTTTATAAGGAATCGTAACCAAGAAATATTCTACCAACATAAATATTGACGTTTCATTCAGCTAAATTAATATTATTGTATAAAAAAATCTTAATTTTGATACATTAATTTAATTTTAAATTTTACTTTATAACCCATTATATGGAAGACTTCAATTTCTGATGATAGAATATTTTTCTTAGTATATATATGTCCAGTTCTCTTCAGTATAGTTTTGACATCTCTTAATTTAAGACTCTATGTAATAATATGAAATACCTTACAAGTTATACTAACATTACTTATTAATTAAAATACTATTAATTATTAGTCATAGGCATAGACTTTGATAAAGATTTATTCACATTTTAGAGGAGACTTTAATTTTTTTATTATAATTTACGTTTAAATAGACAAGTAATCCGCGTAATTGAATTTATTTACATAAAACATAAGATATTTTAGGATATTTTTAAAATATTTCATATAACTAAGCCCTGTGAGCTCACCTATCCAATTTCTGCCAATAATTATTATATATCTAATTATTAGGTTAAGTTCAAATTTAACTTAAAATAAAATATATTTAAAAAAAATCATATAATTTTATTAATTCTTCAAAAAATTATAATTAGTTAATAGGTAAATATTTTATTATGATCTATGGAAAATATTGATAAAATGAAATACTAAATATTGAGATTGTGCATAACTTACTAATGATTGTTGATCATTCTTTGACACCAATTGCATGCAAGACATAACTTGTAAAAAAGATTTTTTTTTTAATAGCTCCAAGACCTTAGGCCATTTATTTGGATGTTTATTGTAAACATTTGTGTACATATAAATGAAATATTCAGACAAAAACCTATTCAATTTATAAATATCATTATTTTAAATAGAATAACAGTTTTTACTGTATTACCTATCATATAATTCAACACACTTGTATTTAACAGAATTATTCACACCACACATATCAGCAAGTTTAAATATAAATTCTACAACTTGAGGTGTACATGATTTGTAAGGCAAAGTACCATTATAATAAAACATTTTGAAATTTTGAACTTTTTTCTTGTATAACATGAACCATTCAACCATATAGGTATCTAAATATTTGTTGATTCATATTTAATAGATAATTTGTTAAATTAGTTAAAAATATAAAGATGCTTTTCTTACTTTCATAATTATCAGTTCTAAATTGCATATTGTTAGTGATATTTAATATTAAATTGAACTAAAATATAAAGTAAACCAATGTCATCAATATGATTTTAAATCATTATTTTGAACTCAGAAAAGTGGCGTACCTGTGGGGAGGGGGCAACAGGGGCATTCCCCCGAGAAGTTTTTTGATGCCATAATGCAAATTAATTGTTCAGCTTAAATAATGTAAATTATAAATATTATTAATTTTCACTGATTATAATTGTGTTTGATATCACTTATCAATGTAATATAAAATATCAATATTAGACCAAATTTTGGAGTTATGATCACATATAGTCACTATTTTATGTGGTTATATACTTTACTATAGTGCATGGTTATATTTTATTTTAATTTGTATTGCTTTGTACTTTTAAACTAAGATTAAAAACTTGGTTAAGGTCAAACGTGGGCGAAGAACGCTTGGTTGGATTAGCTTTGCTTAATATCCATAGACACAGAACAGTTGAAGTTGACGAAGTTATTGATTTATTTACTGGCGGTAAAAAAAAAAAATCAGATTTTGTTATATAATTCATTTTTTAAGTATTTAGTAATAATTTACAATAAAGTTTCAGATTATATTATAACCATAAAAAATTGTGTAGTTAATTTATGCCCCCCCCCCCAAAAAAAAAAAATCTTTTACAGGTACGTCACTGACTCAGAATAACAATAAAAAGTAATAATTAATAAAATAATGTTTTAAGTATTAAAATATTGACGTTTGTAAGTATATAATAATAAAGTCCTAAATTCGAGATATTTTATATTTATAAAATGTATACCCTACTCTGAAAAATGTATAATATTACTGATTTATGGCACTGGGAATTTATTATTTATTTCATTTTACTCATTTCCAATACACATGAGTGCTGTAGTCTTCACGGACGCGTAAATCCGAGTTCGGATGGAAACAACATTCGAGACTGTATATATCTGCGTTGCTGACCAAAATATTTTAATTTTTAATATTTCCACCTGGCATTTATTGATTGGAGTCCAATGGGCTCGTATTTTCTTTGATCTAGGACCTAGATTGGGGAGGTCACAGGTAAATGGCCTAGATTCACCTGTTACCTACCCAATCCAAAATTTCAAGGTGGATCATTCAAAAACGCTACAGAAAATTAGTAGGATATGTAATTTTGAGCCACCCGGCAATACGTCATTTTCTATATGTTCAATTTAGTATAAAAAGTTTTAAATTAATATTATAAAAAAAAAAAAAAAAAATCCGGAATCTTTTACGGCACACCCACAAAATATATTTTCTTTCAATATATGATAATTAACAGGGCCGAACTTAAGGATCTCAGAGGCCCAATACAACTACTAAAGAAGGATTAATTTTTTAATTTTTACACTATGAACTTTTTTTTCTGCAAATGAACGTATGACTTAACTGTAGTCCACAGCTTGCATTATTTTTGTATAACACGAAATATTTCCTCGTGTTAATCCATATTATGAGAAAATGCACTTTTTTTTTTTCGATGTTTGGTCGAGGACACCGGAAATGTGCGGTTCTTAAATCAACTGTCTAATCTGCCTAAGCCGAAATTCGGCCTTGATAATTAATCTCAAGATAAGAAGTTTATAATAGTTAATAGGTATAATAATACTTACATTTGTGTTTATATATTATACAATACTATTTTAATTACTTATTTTAATTTTAATTAAATTGCATTTTTAATACTATTTTACTATTTTAATTTCCAATTTATAGCGATCCAATAAAATGTGTCTGTGTAATTATGTATATGGAACTTATATAGCACAATTGATTAAAAATATAGTATTCATAATCATCAGTGGTATTATTTAGGTATATTATTAAGTACTTAGGTATAGTTCAAAATATTACTTTTTTATTTCTATACCATGTTCATTGAGTAAACAGTTATACCACTGAACAAATAATAAAAAGAAACCCATAAAGAGAGGAGCCTGTGACGTGGTACTTAAATTCCATAAGCTATAAGCCCATATTGTGTTATTTACCTAGTAGGTATATACCAAGGTGAATGTATAATCCACCTTGGTATATACTTATACTTATATAGGTTATATGTTGAATATTCCTTCTTTGGTTGTATAATACAACCGATTAAAATTACTTCTGTTTGAGCACGTAAGTAGGTTTCTATGTAGTTATAGATATCTACACTATAAATAAACTTTAATGTCAACATTACTTCAATTATCCATAAATAATATTATTATTGTTTTATAGATACTCTAAAAATGTTTATATAGATACATCATACATTGTATACATTTTACAGATGATAAATGATAAATAATAGGTATTTAATTGAAGAATATTTGACTATCTACTTATAGATATTCAACTTTATAATAGTAATATTTATTAATATTAGTATAGATCTAATATTAATTTTAGAAGTAAATAATATTCAGTCTGGTGTCCCTCAAGGAGATCATCTTTTTCCATTTATTTTCTCCTTGTTTATAAACAATACAAAACATGTTATTAGAAACAGTCGTTTCCTGATGTTTGCCGGTGATTTAAAAATATATCTTGAAATCCGTTTTATAAACGATTGTCATTGATTACAGAGTAATCTAGATCAGCGGTTCTCAAACTTTTTTTTTTCGCGTACCACATGTGTATATTATCAGTCACGTACCATTAATTATTAAAAATAGAATCATACAAACTTCACATAGTTAAATATATTTATTTTAAATAAAAAAGGCAGTAAAATACTAAAATAAAATTATTATTTATATATTACTACAAATTTATTAGTGTTTTTAATTAATATATGAGTTAAATATTGAATTTTTAATATCAGTTCTACCACTATGCGGCCTTTCGCGTACCAACATGTAGTCTTTTGCGTACCATTAGTGGTACGCGTACCACAGTTTGAGAACCACTGATCTAGATGCACTAAGTGCTTAGGCTACTAATATTGGTCTAGATTTTAATATCTCCAAATGCTTTTATGTCCTTTTACAAAATTTGTAATCCAATCACATTTAGTTACATATTGTGTAATCTAACTTTCGCTTATTCAGATGCAGCTGTCATTGATCTTACAGTATAGTACAGTATATCTATAGTATTACAATTGATCGGGCACTTACTTCTCATGAACTTATTGAAAAAACATACTGCAAAGCTCTAAAAAAAATTGGCCTCATAAAAAGAATTTCTACTGAATTTAAATTCTTAGCGCCACTTAAAGCTTTGTATTGCACATTTTTCAGGTTAATTCTAAAATATGGTATTGTTATTTTGGACTCTTATACAGCAAGGGTGTATTTGAAGGGTGGGCGAAGAGGACATTTGCCCCCTTTCATGGCTCGTATTTTTTTGAATATAATACATTGATTTATTAAAAAAATGTAATGTATAAATAATTCAGAATATAAATTACTAGTTTATCATTATAATATTTTATCATTATAACGGGAACACGAGCTATAGGTAATGAACTGTAAATTATTTTTAAGTTTGTATTGAAGAAAAATTAATTTCGCCTCCCTCCCCCCATGGTCACAACTCAAATACGCCCTTGTTATACAGCTAATATAGTATATATAGTATATGTACCTACCCTCAGGGGTGTCATTTCAACTTTTTTGAAAGGCATGCTAAAAAGTAGGTAGGCCGAAAAAAAATTTCAGCAGGCCAATATAGATATATTATACCAGAATTTAAATTAAAATGAAGTAATTAAATGAACAACAATAAAATAAAACAATAATAAAATATGCATTACAATACATTTTTTAGTTGAAACTTACCATGTTTATACGACCATACACAAATGCTTTACTTATAAACAGCTAAATCATGATAGTTTTTACTTCTTAGTATGTAATGACTTATTAATTTGAAAAAATAGGTTACAACTTTATAATATTGGGTACTTAATAATATCTACGAAATACTAAATTAAACAATTAGGTACATTTTATTATTATATATATATATATATATATATATATACATGTTGTATCATCACCTAATACATATATTAAATTTAATAAAATTAATATATTGTCAGCAAACACACACCACCTTCACAAAATGCTGACAATATAGATTAGAATAGCATAAAACGCCGCCCACAAGACGGGATGTTGGTTCGTTCTACTACCATCGACGTGGAGAACGAAACGCTGCCCGTTTAGCAAGTGACCGGTAATTATTTTGTTTTTGTGGTTAATAAATATTTTTTCGTTTGTTTTAAAATAAAAAGTTTTTATATTATTATTTTTTCTACCTTACGTACTCGTGCAAGTTTTGAGAGAAACTAACGAAAGGGGTAAATAAAATTATATTGCATTTCAAACCTCAATCCAGTGCTAGATTATATTCTTTGTCAGTTTGAGGGGAGAGAACAATATAGTTAGGTAAAGGTTACCTCACGCTCGAAACATCCAGTGCTAGATCTTGTCCTTTGTCAGTTGTTTCGAGTGTAAAATAACTTTAGAGCTATTAAAGGAAAGTAAACTTTTTAAAAAACCTGTTTTTCGACTATCCTATTAAGCAGTGCTAGATTGTATTCTTTGTCACTTAAGAAGATAGTCGTCCGGGTCAATTATTAAGTTTTCCTTTACTTGCTTGTTTGACAGTTAGAGTGTCCGACAACCAATAATACCTCGTTTTTGTGTTGTTATACGCCAAGCCTTTGCGTGGCGTATACGACAAAGTGGCGCCCAACGTGGGGCTCGAACCCACGACCCCGAGATTAAGAGTCTCGTGCTCTACCGACTGAGCTAGCCGGGCTAGCGTGGCGTATACGACATACATATAACCCGAAAACGTCTTTTTGTTTACTTAAACTCATGATCAAAATTTACGAAAATTCGAAATATGTAGGTACCCGACTACACATGGCACACATAATAGTTAAAACGTAAAAAAATACATACTGCTGACTAGGGCCGTGTTAAGAGGGGTCAAAGGATGCAATTGCCCCCGGGCGCTGTAGTTTTTTAAATGTAAGGGGGCGCTCTTATCTGCACTTAATATGCTACCTGTGCCTAGTGGCCTCGTAAAAAAAAATTTGCCCCGAGGCGCTGAAATGTTTGACACAGCTCTGCTGCTGACTAAATCATTAAATAATAATGTATTCTGTATAGATAAACTATGTTATTTTTGATTTGATGATTTGATTATTATTGGTTGTCCTAATTTTATCAATCATAATATCATATAGTACATTATTATATGGTACAATAATGCCACAGAGTATACTTTGTGAATAATGCTAATATTGAATCTATTTATAAAATTAATGTCAGTTATCTTTGTTTACCACGGTGAATACCTAACATGAATAATTCTATAACCAATAAAATCGTGAATGATGTGAATGATGTGAATGAATCTAAATATTTTTCATGATTGTTGATTCAACTCCTGATATAAGAATAAAAATTCAATTGACAGTGGTCATTAGTGGCGCCGAACTACAAAAAATGCAGTAAGGTGAATATCAATTTTTAATAGTACCTACCCACTTACCAATTGGGGTTAACGGCAGGGTGGGGGGCTGAAACCCTACCATAATGTTGTATTCAAAATTGATATTAATACATAATAAACATTACATATATTTTCATATTGCGACTAGTGGTGGGCATATACAGATTATCCGAATTATTCAACTCGATTTTGCTGTTCAATGACTCATTTTTATATACTAATAATATTTTAATAATATAACATTTTGTTAAATTTTCATTATAATAAAATAATTTATTTTACCATACATTAAAAATATTTGTAAGTCTGAAGTCACATAAAAAGCAAATCCATAAATCCTGATAAGAATTTGATTCAAATCCGGATAATTCAGATATTCAGATTTCATGCCCATCCCTAATTGTGACATCAATAATTTATGATATAGCCGATATAGGTGTTCACTTTATATATTAAATAATATTTATTTTAAAGCCTCCCTCATCATCAATACATAAGTCCTATGTCCACTACCATTATTTATATTAATATTAAAATATATCACGTTGATACTGATCAGTTGTAGGCAATGTAATAGGCATGTAATTATGCATTTATGCAGTAAAACAAATTATTTACCCAGCACTCAGTACCTACCCACCGCATAATTCACTATGGCAGTCGCCATACTTGGATATAGGGATCGGCGTCACTGGTGGTCATACGATATGTAACTCCTACAGGCGAGTCAAAAGAAAGATTTTTACCATTAGAGTTTATTTTCATGTTGAATTTATGGACCCCAATATTACAGAGATTCGACACTACAAGTAAAGCATTACAGTCAAAAGATATACATTTATCAATTGTTTTTTTCATTATATGAATCATAAGAACTATATGCGCAAGAATATAGAAAATTATTTAAGAACTTTTTGCAAAAGTAAATAACTATGTAGGAAATCAACATTTTCACGGAAAAAGTCAAGGGTCATTAAGAAAAAAACACACTTTGATGATTCAAATTCTATAGAAACGGTACATCTGGGTAATAATAAAATGAAGAATGATACTTTCTGTATAATTGATACTATGTCTTCAAAGTTGTGTGAAAGAAAAGAATCATATATAAATGTCCATTAAAATTTTGGATTTTTAAGTAATTTGACTAACTTGGAGTCTTTGGCCCTACGTAAGGAGACATCAGAGGTGGAATTAAGAATTTTTACGCCCAGGGAAAATATTAAAATTACGCCCTATCATAGACCAATAATCAAATACCTACTCTTCTCGAGAATTTTTTCTAATAATTAATATACAATCATACTTATTGAGTTTTAACCTAGTATCAGTATTTAACAAAGTTAAAAATATAAAATTAGTTGTTAATAATTATAAAAATTACACCCCCTAAAATTTTACGCCCGGGGATGAATCCTCGTCTTCCACCCCTGGGAGACATTGCATATTTTAAATAATAAGATTTAGACTTTTCTTTCATAGAAGAAGTGATCCAATTTCAAAAGATTGCAAAATCATTTTCTAGACAAGATTTAACAATAAATGGTATATTAACTAAATTGGCCAATTCTCCTTAGAAAATGACTTTTCTAAATGTGTTAATAATTTTAAGGATTTATGCATGTATGCCATGTTCTAATGCCAGTGGTGAGCGATCATTTTCTAACCTCAGAAGAGTAAAAAATTATCAAAGATCTACACTTTCGCAAAAAAACATCTTCGCTATCGTTTTTATGTACCTATTGAAAACGATATTCTTAGAAATATGGACTGGTCTGATACAATTTATAAATTTTTATCATTACAAATACCTAAAAATTTTTTAGTTTGTAACATTTGTGATATTTTGTAATAATTATTAATAAAATACCTAATTTGTTGAAATTTTATCTGATTTTCATTTTTATATCTATTGTAAAATATCATTGTCGAAAATAATTGTTGATGTGTATGTTAAATAAGTAGAGTTGTATGTTTGTTATGTTGTAAGTATAATATATTATGTTTTGTATTGATAATTCAAGCAAAGCGAGAAAAACATTTTTGGTGTTATATTTTGAAAAAATGGCACAAATACTGAATGAGGGGCGTCATATTTATGTTTGCTCCCCTATACATTGACCCTTAATACGGCCCTGCTGATGTTATTATCGATGAAGTTAATAATTATATATAACTATATGTATATAAACAACATGGGCATTTTTTTTTTTTTTATATAGTATTGAAGTTACAATTTGGAATTGTAGAAAAACGCTGGTATCACTGGTAATGTATAACTATTTTGAGATCTTGTACAGTTCATCCCATATTATAAAATAAATAATCATATTTGATTGAATTATGTTCTCACTTTACTCATCCAAATTAATTTTAAAGTTTCTTCTCGTGATCTGAATTACTCAGTTGTCTGTTATTTTTACCATACCTCTCATAACACAAATTACGGTTAAGACATATCGTTAAACAAAATTCGTCTTGGCAATAAGCCTCTATAGAAGTGGTTTTCAACCTTTTTAACAATGCGGCACACTTCATCTCCAATAAAATGTTCGTGGCACACTAATCCATATATAATGTGTTATATACATATGTATATATTTACACTATTTACAGTCTACTCTATTAGAGGGTTATTTATTGTGAAATATATTAATACAATCGATTGAGACGGCTACGACGGACATACAATACATAATAATATATGTATATACGATTAGTTCGATCAGTTTTCATCGAATATCGATAATAAACTGATAAATACATACTTATAAAACAATTTATAGATTTATCGAGGCACACTTCAAAGGCGCTCGCGACACACCGGTTGGGAACCACTTCTCTATAGTACCTATAGAGTTAATACTCATTCTGAACTTAGGTAAATTGTTATCTTTATTTTGTACTTTTTTGTTGTGTTATATTAATTTCATTATAATAATATTTTATAATAATATAAATTATGACTAATTGTAAAAATTGGGCCACGTATATCATCTATATAGATTGAGAGTCAAATTATTATAATATTAAAATTAAAAAAATTGATGTGAATTATATTGGGCTCCGGGCTTTAACCTGTAAATAAATAGATAACTGTGAAAACGTTTCCGTGGCCATTTGAGTAAATAAATCTAACAATATCCCAAGGTTTTTAAAAACATAATTTATAACATTTATATAAACAGTTTCTAACTTAATTTGCTCGAGAGGTAGGGCCGGTAAAGAGCTTATTATTAATATTAATATTCAAAGTCTTCATTAGGTATATAAAACCGAATTTTTTTATTTTTCCTTATTTCTTTTATTTTATTAAGATATTATTTACTGTTAAATAATCGTCTATCGTAATAAAAGCATTGATACTTGTCAATATTATTCATTATATAGTTATGTGTTAACCAGTATGCAGCAATGCCAATATCAGTAATGTTATATGTTTCCTGGTTGATAATAATCATAGACTTATAAAGATATATATTTTATCTTTATATGTCTATGATTTTAATGTATTTTTTGTGTATTTTTAAGTATTTAATAATTTGAAACGTTGGTGTGCCTGTCCGGTTACAGATAAGGTATCAGTTATACATTTGATTTAATTTTTGATAATATTTTTTTTAGCACTATTTATGTTATTATTAAATTTATTTGTTTAACAAATAATAAAATATTTTTTAAAGTGACTAATTTTTTATATAATTTTGTTTAATTAGTCATTAGTGATTGATGAAAAAGTTTTCTCAGTAACAAATTTTTAATTATTTTCACTTATAGTCATTCTAATGTCTGAAATTATTTTAAAATTATTTAGTTCTAAAATATTTAAAGAAATCATATCACAGGCCATAACCAATAGAGACTGAACATTTTCACCTTGCCTAGTTTCAATGGAGATCATTTGGTTTATTTTTTAAATGACATTGAAACTTGAACAACCTATTCGATCCTATATTAATTCTACAACCAAGGTAAACTGAAACACTCAAGTACTATAATTATTAAATAAGGTTTAACTATATTTTTTATTTATTTCTAGTATGTTGTCAAATTATGATAGCCTAAACTAAGTTTTAAAATGGTTGGCACAAGTACTAAGGTTGATGAATCTGTAGTTGAAGATTCTTCCATTACTACATCATTCACCAAAATCAGTACAGCATTATTCTATGCTGGTGCGTCTATGTTAATCACTGTTGTTAATAAATCTGTTTTAACCAGTTATGGATTTCCATCTTTTCAATTTTTAGCTATTTGTCAAATGTTTATGACAATTTTTGTATTATTTTTTGCTAAGAGTTTAGGAAAACTAAAATTTCCAGATCTCAATAGACATACATTTAAAGATACATTTCCAATGCCTCTAATATATCTAGGTAATATGGAATTTGGTTTAGGTGGCACCAAAGAATTAAGTTTACCAATGTTTACTATGTTAAGACGATTTTCTATATTGTTTACCATGTTAGGAGAATATTATTTGCTTAATATTAGGCCCAAGTTCTCTGTTGAAGTATCAGTGGGCATGATGGTTTCTGGTGCTATTATAGCTGCTAGTAATGATTTAGGGTTTAATTTTAGTGGATACTTATTTGTGTTGATTAATGATTTATTAACGGCTGCAAATGGTGTATTTACTAAAAAAAAATTGAACTCGAAAAAAGAAATGGGAAAATATGGACTGATGTATTATTCATCTCTATTCATGGTACTGCCTGCTTTAATATTGGTGTATTTTTCTGGCGATCTAGATAAAGTATACAGGTACCTCATTAACTGTATGAGCTATTAGCAAATATTATTAATTTATTATTCTATTTTTTTCAGATTTGGTTATTGGTTGCATCCACCCTTTTTAATTCAAATTTTCATTTCATCTATAATGGGTTTTATTTTAAATTATAGTATAATGTTATGTACTCAATACAATTCAGCTTTAACTACAACTATAATTGGATGTCTTAAAAATATATTTGTTACTTATATGGGCATGTTTATTGGTGGTGACTATGTTTATACATTAAATAACTTTATTGGTATTAATATTAGTGTTATTGGTAGTCTGTTCTATACTTATGTCACATTTAGGCCATCATCTCAACTCAAGTCAACAAATTCTATTGCTGTATAAGACTTTACAATATTTCTTAAATGTATATCAAATTATATTAAAAATACAATATACAACTAGTTACCTTTTATTTTGTTATATGTTATGATTTATAGTATTTACTTATGTCCTTTATTTTATGTCATGTTACATAAAAAACATTGAATTGGATTTTAAAATTATATACATTTTTTTTTGTTTGAGTATAATGAAAGTAATAAAACATATATACTTTATAAATGTATCTTATATCATAAAGAAAAAAAAACATATATTATGTTCTTAATTTTTTATACCAATTTATTGTTGTAATGTATAAGTTATAATTCTACATAAGACTGCTTAAGTAATAATAGATTTGTAAAGTTACAAATTAATATTTTTAACTGGCTGTTGTCTATATTTTAAATTATCTAGGTTAACTGCTATTTTTATCAAATTTAAATTATTAATAATTATAACCAAAAGAATTGTTACTTTGTCTTTACATTGAAATATATTTAAATTTTTTTTTTAAATATTGTACTTTTAATTCCCTACTTCAAGCTACATTATTTGAATAATAAAAAATGTGTGTGTGTGCCCAATAATTACTTTTAAAATAAATCATTGGTGTAATTGTCTTATTATATTAATAATTATTGTTATATAGGTATTATTAAAATAATGTTCAGTTATATGATTAATTAATAATGTATATTATAGAGATGCTATGGTTGGTATAGTTTTTTTTTTATGGAATTATCAAATAATTTAATGTAAATTTTATTTTTTGACGTGGTTTATGTATTATTTGATTATTTGATTTCCATATGTTAATTAAATAAAGTAAGTACATAAAACGTTTTGAATTTTGTATATAGAATAAATTATTTAAAACAAAGTCAAACAAATTAGGTATTTGCTTTTTTAAAATGTAATAAAAATTTAAGTGTTCCATACATATGTATCATAGATACATTCCATTTGATGAACTTATATAATAATTTTTAAATTTTAGGTAAATAAAATTATAATTTTGTTTTTGTAATTTAATCTTATTTTTAAAAATTCTACTTTTATCCCAACAAAATTGAATTAAATTAAAATATAACTGTATTAAATGATTAGTAAAAAATTTTTAATTCATACAAATTTGTATGGGTTTAATCAAATTAATGGCATAGAACATTATAGTACATATAAATCTATCAATTGTAATTTAGTACAAAGAAAAACCATTTATATATTTTTAAAGGGTTTAATTGCTTCCAAGAGTATATAGAACTCAAATCTTTCACTAATATTTGATACATTTTTAGAAAAATGTTTTCTTAAATAAAATCATTACAAAATATTTAGTACATATTCATGCATCTATTCATTTTTTTAAAAACGTATCAAATATACTTCATTTAGTGAAATTCATAATGAACCCATGCACTTAAATATATGTTTATTTAAGGGGCGATTCACTTTTTTTCAAAATAATTGGAGCTTAAATAATGTACAATAAAGTGGTAAATATAGTATATCTATCACCCTTCCCTCTTAATTATGTGTCTATATAAACCCTATATATGTTATCTTTTTATTATAATTGGTTAATAATACAATTATTAATAAGGTAATATAATGAATTAATAATACAATTTAACAAGTATAATTAATTTAAAACTCATTACTAAAGACCGGATTTATATGTTTTTACATATTGTTACTGGGTCTATGCAGTTGTATGAGAGTAAAAAACATGGACGATTCGTTCAATTCTGATTTGAGAACCATTGGTTCTGGAAAATAAAAAACTGAATAACTCGGTCAAAAATTAATTATTTTTTTTTAAACATTTTTTTCTTCGGAATATATGTTATTTATACTTTTTGTAACGAGGAATTTACAATTCTTGAAAAATTTTAAATTTATTCAGCACAGCACACATTATAGGAAAATTTATTTCAGCAGTGAAATTGTTAATTTTATACGAGTATTACCAGATATTTGATTTTCTTCACTGGCGGAATTCACACGAACCTAATTTTACCTGTTTTTTTTCTGACGAAGTTTTCAGTAAAAAAAGGTACTTGTGGCGGAGTTTACATGAGCCCATTTTTATAGTAGACCTATTGTCTTCATAGGCGCACATAGAGGGGTGCTTAGCACCCCCTTATTTAAAATTAGCACCCCCAGTTTCCTAGAATATTTATTTTATTAATAAATTGTAAATTATTGTGGTTTATTGGGTTAGACATTTTTTTTTCCACTATAGACAATAATATATAATATAGTTGATGAATACACAGTTAAAACAGTATTGTATAATTGCACGTTTCACTGTTTCAGTTTTTGTCAAACTATTAAACTATAAACAGCAATCAAAATATTATAGAAAATCATATTATCTTACTTTATATTCTTATATTATCTACGGTTTATGGTTGGCTACGAAGTTATGTTCTATTTATAACTTTAATTATTACTTGGTTTTTGGTAATATTTAACCAGTGGGCAACGCAGAATTGTATGAGGAATGACAAATATTATTACCAATCATACAAACGACATGATTCATTACTATTTACATTTTATATACTAGTTCATATTTTTGATACATCAAGTTATTTTGAATATATCGACAGTTAGTTTATCTGCAGAAATGCTGGTCTTAAAGAATAGTCTACTAGCCAACTTTGAATTTGAAAACTTGAAAAATCAATGTAATAAAAGTTCGTTTCCAAATGTTTATAAACTAGTTCAAGTGGTAATGATAATTCCAATTTCTTCTTCAACGTGTGAACGCTCCTTTTCAGCTATGCGTAGATTTAAAAATTGGTTACGCACTAGTATAGGCCAAGAAAGATTTATTAAGCTGCGTTTAGCATTGAGAGAGATCTTCCCAATAAAATAGATGGGAAAATTATATTGGAAAAATTTGCATAATCAAACGGGAAATTAATTCTTGTTTAATATATTATTAATAATAACATATTATTATAACTTATAATATAATTACTTTTAAATATTCATTAATAAAAATTAAAAATTATGGCAACGCAGTAGATTATAGTATTAGGGGGGTATGGGGGGCAAAGCCCCCTACGGACCTGTATATTTTAAATTATTCCAGCACCCCCTGAATTCACACACAATGTGCGCCTATGAATGTCAACATTATCAAATACAACTATATTATTTAGTATATTTTTATAATATGTGTCACTGTGTATGGTATAATAATTATCTACTATCTAGAGTCTAGATTCTAGGCTCATATCGATGAATTAGGCCAACGATTCTCAAACTTTTATAAACACTGTACCCCTTTTTATCAATAATTTTTTTGGGTACCCCTTCTTAGTTACTTTACTAAAATATACATAAAACAATTTCAAGACTTACAAAGATTATTATTTCATTAAGATTAAGTTATTAAATACTAATATATAAAAAATTTTAAAAACTATAAGCATTTATTTTCAAAGAAATTAGTGAGATGGGTGACCTTGTTTCTGTTGGCACAGTTTATCAATATTGGGTTCTAATTTAGTTAAATACAATCTTAAATCATCTCAACATTTAATTCATTTCTATATTTACATTTAACATAAGTTAAACTTAAAAAACCTCTTTCACATAAATAAGTGGTGGAAAATTCAACAAGAAATTTGATGGCAGTGCTAGACAGTTCTTTTTGTTCCTATCCAACACAAATCCAAAAATCTAACAATGTAGTACCAGAATTTAAGAATTTGTTTTTCATCGTGGGATTACACGAGACTTCAATGAGCTGCTCCTTTTCAAAAGTAGTCAGGTTAGTGTTTGTGGCATCAACATTAAAAGGATCACGTATCCAGTCATATTGATTCTCCAAAGGCGGAAAATACTCTCTTATACGGATCTTCAGTGCATTCAAGTGCTGAACCATTTAAGTTTTGAGTTCAGTAAAATTAGATAATTTTTTCTTATTATTTTGTAAAAATATGTTTAATCTTTCAAACGGCTCACAGTTTTTTTTTTATATTTCTTTTTTCCCAGAGAATGATATTTTTATTATTGCATTGTTTTTTTTTTCTACATGAAAAATATTAGAAATACTTCCTCGTATGGAAAAATTCTAGATGTTGATTTTTTCAAAAATATCACTTAAATAAGCCAACTTTAAAAGCCAATTAAATTAATTAATTAGTGAAGAAAAATGCGATTTGTGTTCGGTAAAAAAATATGGAATTCTTCGTGGAGTTCAAACACACAGGACAAAATGTTTCCCCGTGATAGCCATCGTATATTGTATTTCAGTGTGAAGCCATACATTTTCATGAAGGCTCCCCATATCCAGACATAGAATTTTAAAGTAGCGAGATTTTTGAGACCTAGTTTTGATGAAGTTTACAATTTTTACACTCTGATCAAGGACTTCTTTAAGTTCCTCAGATAAGTGCTTAGCTACCAAAGCTTCTCAGTGAAGAACACAATGAGTGAACTTACACTCTGCTGAAACTTTTTTAATATGACCTACCAGCCCTGTGATGTGACCGCTTAGTTTTGGCACCATCCATACACACTGACACAATTTTTCCATTCAAACTGGTGTTTAGAAAAAAAAGAATCTAGCAATTTGAAAATATCTTCACTTTTTGTAGACGTTTTAAGTGTCTTACGAAATAAAAAATCTTCAAATACTTCATCTTGAAATATGCCACGAACGAAAACAATCAGTTGGGCTAGGCCAGCGACATCCGTGCTTTCGTCGAGTTGTATCCCAAAGCAAGGGCTACCTCGAATTCTTCGAACAAGTTGTTCTTTTGTGTCATACGCCATATCATTGATTCTCCTTAAAACTGTATTATTTGATAATAGATTTTTCTTAATTATTTTTGTCTCTTTTTCTCAAAACATGCAAGAAACAATTTCTACTGCGGCTGGAAGGAAGTTTTCGCCAATAGTGTGGTTTTTCCCAAACTTTGCGATCAAATGACTTACTTTGTAAGGAGATTTTAGTGCATTTTCATTTTGTTCTGCACCAGAAAACTATTTTATATTGTTTTTCCTATTTTTAAGATCTTTTAAAAGGCATTCAAAGTACTGTAACTCCTTATTTACTACATTTTTGTTTATTTTCTAAATGGCGTTTGAAAAATGATATCATAGAATTGTTTGATAATATTTCAGAA